AGTAGGGTTGGGAGCGTCCGGCGCGTTGCTTGGGCTAGAGAGTGAGTCCCCGGCACCCGGCATCCGTTAGCGAGGCAGCCCCCGACCGTGGACTCCGGCGGCCGCGGGGGCGGGTCGGTCCCGGAACGAGGTCTCGGGGCAGCGGGCGCGGTCTTCGCGGGCCTGCGGCTTGGGGCCCCTCGGCTCTCAGGAGGTCTCTGCAGGCGGGGCCTTTGCGGAGCTTGGTAATTCTGAGTTCAGTGAGCTGTCGTGTTGATGGGACAGGGGCAGTGGAGCCAGGCTGTGGCTCACCCACTCCAACCCAGGTCCGGTGCGGTGCGGGCTGAGCAAGGCACCAACCCTCCCTGGGCTTGTCGCCAATCGGGAGTGCACGCGGGACCCCAGGAGTTACGGGCCCGCTGGCGGGAATGATCCTCAGTCCTGGCCCGCCCCGCCCCGTGCCCCCACCCCTGCCCAGCATATGGAATAGTTGTTCGTCCGGTCGGGCACTAGGCTGAGGTCTTTTGAGACAGATGTTACTGTGAAAGGACAACCTTGCAAAACAACGATAAGCCTTGGAATAGTGGGAAACCAGAGAATGTTCTAGAATAGTTCCTGTGTACAGACCAGGCTCAGCTCGGTGGGAGCGCCGCTGAGGATACTTACACTGGCAGAGTGCCCCTGGACAGCAAGTGCCCCTGACGGAGGCCTGGCAGCCACCAGCCTTCTCTGGCACACAGGGAACAGGGCAGACTGTTACCCACATTTGGGCAAGTGGCCAGCACTCCCGCTTCAAGGCTGTCCGTACCCTGCTGGGGGCTCCTGCCCACTGTTCCTGCGCAGGGACCTGCAGGGTCAGGTGCCAATGTGTTACTGCCCTGTCCTGGGTCCTGGGAACACAGCAGTGGGAATAACCTGCACAGGTGCCTGTTCTGCTCAAGCTTCCAGCCGGTGTGGGAGTAGGGAGCAGGCGGGTGTCCCAGAGGCACCCCTAGCACATCACTCTAGGCGCAAGTTTGGAGAGAGACACTTGAGAGCCAGATGGGGCCCTGACCTGGTGGCATTAGGGCAGAGGAATACTAGACCTGGCAGTGGCTGCTGTGATCGGGGCACACCACTGACCCTGCCAGCTGTGTCCTGGCCTCTTGCTGGTCAGTAACACCTTCATCTACTTTGCAGTTTTGATTGGGGGCAGTGTGCCCAGTGCCCCACTGCAGGGCCGGTGCGCCAAGCAGCTAGCAGCCGTGAGCAGCCTCGGCCCTCCCCAGGATTCTGGGGGGTGGTGCTCCTGACCAGCTAAGTGTGATCCCTCAGAGTCCACCCTCCCCAGACCAGAGACCCAAGCTCAGGTCCACCTGGGCTCACCCCAGCTGTCCAAGTTGGCATTCCTGGCTGGGGCCCGGGGCTTGGCTTTCTGACCCTCTCCTTGGTGGCCCTGAGGTTCCGAGCAGGTTTGGAAGGACTGCTTCAGGGGCCTGGGCATGTGGACCCTGCTCCTTCCTGCCCAGCTCTTCACACTGAGCTGCTTCCCCTTTCTCAGAACCCTCCCTGACCAAAGCCCCCTCCTCCGATGACCCTTACCTTTGAAGACATCCCTAGAGCGCCAAGGCCCCCGTGTGCCCCTCAGGTCTTCCTTATTCCACAGTCTTTCCAGATTTCCCTCCAGAACCCTCCCTTTGCTGCTCGCATCACCTAGCGCTCCCAGTGGCCTCCGGCTTCGATGCTGCTGTTCCCACCTCTCTCCCACCACCCCCTCTCCGTGCTTTGAAGACTTGGCCCCTGGCTTGCTGCCTTCTCCAGAAGTACTGGGGCACTGCTTATTCTTCTGATAATAAAAAGCACTTTGATTTTCTTCTGGGGACAAAACCCACTCTACTCTCAGGCACATGGCTCTGAAGGACAGGCCCTTCCAGTTCCAGGGATGGTCAAGCGACCAAAGACCTGGCTGATGAGTGTTCAGTCTGTCCACTTGGCCACAAGGATTGGGTCAGAAACGGGTTCTTAACCCCCGTCAATGAGTCAATCCTCAGACTTCCTGGAACTAGTGAGGAAGGGGTGCACTCTCCTCTGGGCTCACTGGGAGTAGGGGCATGAGGCCAGAGCCGCCAGTGGCCATCTTTGTCAACACATAGGGAGAGCCCACATGAAAAAGGGGCCAAGACAGAGAAGGTTGGAGCCAAGAAATGGAGAAACAGATACTTAAGGACATTAATGGGACATCTGGATCCAGCCATGCCTGAAGCTAGTTAAACCTGGCTGTCCTGTGAGCTGATACTTGCTTTTTACATAAGCTAGTTTGAATTAGGTTTCTGTCACTTGCAGTCTGGTCTCTCACTCTTTGGACTCCCTTTATTCTCCCATGCCCACATCTTGGACCTTATCATCCCTTCAAATTACTCTTCCTTAAAACCACAGTCACGGGGTCCCACTCTCCACCCACAGGCCCTTCCCTTCCTCTTCCCAGCCTGCTCACTCAGACCCTTCAGCCAAGCTGCACCTCCGTGGGTGGGTCCCACGTTCTGAAGTTGAACAATGAATGGTTGTGACCAACCACATGTGAACCCTCCGCTTGTGCCAGACACTCTGAGAATGGCTGCATAGGCCTCACCTGGGCCCGGAGGCAGCCCAGCGAGGTCAGTGGTCCAACACTCATCTCACTGGTGCGCGAGGTGTATTTTCTGCCGTGACATCACACTCAGCTCCTGCCCAGAGCTGGGGAGCCCAAGACCCAAAGCTTACTTTCTCTGTCTCTTGGAGCCTCAATTCCAGGTGAACACTGAAGGCACATGACACTGCGAAGCCCAGGAGGAGAGCTTCCTGGAGGAGGTGACCCCAGTATAGCAAAGAGGCAAAGGACTAGGTGCATTTGCTTGTCTGTAAAACTGAGGCACAGCAATGGCCCGGGCTGCACCCACTTATCATGAGGGGGTTGGGTGGGACCAGGGCCCAGGAGGCCAAGGTCAGGTTTCTGGGTGCAGCTCCACCACATTCTTTTGTCCAGGACAAGACTGTTCTCTGCAAGCCTCAGTTTTCTCATCTATAAGCAGAGCCAAGAACGAGTCTCTGTACTCATCCATCTGCTGACCAGGGAAGTCTGAACACACTACCTCTAGCCAGGGGCTCCAGGTTTTCCTGCCTCCATCCGTCACACCCTCCGGGTGCAGAGCTCTCTCCTCCTGCGAAGCTGCCCTCCTGCCTCTCGCAGGGCTGGGGCCTTGCCCCCTCCCCGTGAACCTAACTCCTGGGTTCCCAGATCCTACTTCCTCCTGGTCCCCGGACAGCTCTGCAGACACTACAAAGGCCCCTTTCCAGGTCGAGCAGTTTAGTTACCCATGGGATGGGGTCTCCACCCAGTCAACCCCTGGGGACCAACCCAGCTAAAACCATCCCTCTGCCAGGGTGGGGCCGAGCGCGGAGCTGAGGAAGGAAAGCGCTGTTCGTCTTGCCCTGGACCTTGGCAGTGAGGGCAACGTGTAGGTGCTGAGACCCTTCATCCAGAGCTCACCGTGTCCACACCTGGCCCAGGAGTCAGAAAACCTGAGGGAGAATCCAGGGAAAGTAGAAAATTGCAGTCCCAGGGGCTGCCTCACACCGGGGAGGTGAGGCAGCAGATCAGCAAGCAAAGTGGCTGCCTCCTCCCAAACCTGGCAAGACCCGCCCTGTGGCCCCCCAGTGCTGGTGATGGCCGCCAGGCAGCAGTGCGGCCGAACACGGCCAGAGCTTCCCACTTTCTCAGACCGTATTAGAAGCACCTCCTGAAAGTGTTTCTAAGTTCCCCTCCCAAAGCAGGAAGGGATCTGGGCCATCCAGGGAAGCCTGGGAGGAGGGCACCTCGGCTGGCAGCGGTCCCGCCTGGGGCCCCGTCATCAGAGGCACCTCCTGAGAATTTTTGATGTCGAAACTATAAACCTCTTTTTGTGAAATTGCCTGCTTTTAAATTGTGGGTTTAAGAAAAAAAGCCCTCCATCTCACACCCATTAGGATGGCTACTATTAAAAAAAAAACAGAACAGAACAGAATGAGTGTTGGTGAGGATGTGGAGAAGTTGGAACCTTCTGCACTGTTGGTAGGAATGTAAGATGGTGCCGCTGCTGGAAAACAGTACAGAGGGTCCTCAAAAAATCAAACATAGAACTGATCCAGCAATTTTACTTCTGGGCACACACCCAACAGAATTGAAAGCAGTCACTAGAAGAGAGACTTGAACACCCATGTTCATAGCAGCTCTGTTTGCAACAGCCAAAAGGTGGAGGCAACCCAGGTGTCCATGGACAGATGATGGATAAACACAGTGTGGTCTCTCACACAACAGAGTATTATTTAGTCTTAAAAAGGAAGAAGTTCTGACACACATGACAACATGGAGGAACCTTGAGAACATGATGCTTAGTGAAACAAGCCAGTCACAGAAGGACAAGAACTGTCTGATCCCACTTACATGAAGTATCTAGAGAGGTCAAATCCACAGTGAGAAAGAGCAGATTGGTGGGTGCCAGGTTTGGGGGTGGCAGCTAGGGTTTAATGAAGACAGAGTTTGAGTTTTGCAAGATGAAAAGAGTTCTGGATATGGATAGTGGTGATGGCTGTACGACAGTGTGAACGTATTTAACGCCACTGAACTGCACGCTTACAAATAGTTAAGATGGTAAATTTTATATCATGCGTATTTTACCACAATTAAAAATTAAGAAATACTGCCTGGGCCAAACAGAATCATGTGTGAGCTCAGTGTGGCCTGCAGTCCCCACCTTTGAGATCATGCACCCTGATCTTCTGTGCGGGCTGTGTCGGCTGCTTCGTGAGACAGGAAGCTCTGTGTGGAGGTGTCTCGTTGCAGCCCGAGCCAAAGGAAGTCACAGCGCCATGAAAGCCACACACCGGCCCGCCGGTGCTGAGGGGCTGCGCCAGGGGTAACCACATCTCCACCCAGGTTGTCACGAGGGTCCCAGAGCCTTCCCTAGTCTCGCCCACCTCCTCTTGCCTCCCCCAGCTCCTGTCTTCCTCCTGGCTGCCTCCATTAAGGGCTACAAGTGAGGCACTCAGGCCAGCCTGGCTGCCTTCAGAACTTTCTATGTTGTTCAGTGTGATTGTCCAGCCCCTTTCACTGGAGCCCCAGCTCCTCCAAACATCCCTGGAGCTTCTGCTGCTGCCTCCTGGGAGTGTCACCTACCCACAGAGCCTGCAGCACACCTCTCTTCCCTGGAGTCCCTGGGACGTGCGAGGGGCTCCATCACAGAGGTAGGTTCTGTTGCTGTGGGCTCCTGGGAGCACACAGAGCCGGGCAAAGCAAGTCTCAGCTGTGTGCGCGCTGGGGACCCTCCCACACAGCCAGCTCCTTTCTCCAAGGAATGAGTTTGCACCCTTCCCATCACCGAGTGCTCCTGTTTCGGGCTGAGCAGGGGGAGAGAGGGTATGCAGGTCCAGACAGGGATCTGAGAGGCTGAGGCCACCAATACCCTCTCTGGTCCCCACCAGCAGCCTACCCTCTGGGCCTTCCCGGTAGCAAGCAGGATCTTGTCCAAATTCTCCAAGCTGAGACACCCTTTCTGGGCCAGGGAGCTCACAGAATTGTCCTCAACTTACCCATGCCAAGCTGCACGCTGTGGGCCAAGCCCCTCCCTCACTTGGGTGTGTTCCACCTGGGTCTGCACAAAGCCGGGCTGGGCTTCTGGTACACAGCGCTGCAGGGGATGCATCCAGATGCACTGTAGACAGGAGGGCAGGTGTCTGCACGACCTGGGGTCCAGGGGCCCTCTGCCTCCTCTAAGGCTGCAGAGCAAGAAAGGGTCCTCTAACGCCTGGAGCCAAGCCCAGTCACTGTGCAGGCAGGGCATCGCTCCTGCCCCGAGGACGGTGGGGCCCTGGTCTGACTTGGCCAAACTGAGGCCTGCAGGAGGCTTCCCCGCCTGTCCCTGAGGTCTGACTCTAAAACAAAGGGCAGGAGCGATGCTGTGCTGCTCTGACACGCCGAATCAAGTCCTGGCAAAAAGTGGGAGAACGGGGAATCACATGCCCCTGCAATCAGTGAAAAGCTGGAAAGCAATTTGGCAATACCCAGTAAAGCCGATGACCCAGATGGGGGAAGAGACTGCAGAACGGAATGCCCAAGATGACTACATTTATGTAAACCTGAAAAATCACAAAACATGTCTTGATAGAAGAAAGTGCTTTTAACATCGCATTTATGTCATAGAATGCAAACCGGAGTGAAAAGGACACATGCCCGAGGACTTTTGTTCTTTCTTGTGAAAGACCCCACCAAACTGACACACAGCCCTGAAAAACTGGGGGAAACTACGAAAAACAATGGAAATTTCACTTTTGTCGCTTATTAAACTTGAAGCAAATATGACTAAAGTCAGAACAGTCAACATTCTGGTTATCTGTATTTTTTTAAACCTCTTAATGGAACACCAAAGCCCACATAAATGAGCCCAAATAAAACCAGATAAAACCACTGAGAGCGCCCCGCCTTCCCCCATCGCCGCCTCAACCGGAAGAGGAATTCAGAGACCGAGGGTCGGGGCGGGGACCCCACAGCACCCCCGCCTGCCGGCGCCGCTCGCTCCCATTGGCGGGTACGGCGCCGGGGCCCCGCTCCGATTGGTGGAGGTGCGACCCCTGCTTTGCATAGGCCCTGCGGCGGGTGTGAGCGGACCCGAGCG